AGTACTTGACAAATCTTCTATATTCATCTTCAGGTTCTATGGGTCTAGAAATGGTGATTCATAAGAAAGAACACTTCTATTTGAGAACATTAATGGACATCCCATCAAATGTGAAGCATGAGAACAGAAATAGAATGTTGTAGTTATTTTACTCATGACCCCTCTGCTCCCCAGCCCCAAACTCAGATGCTCTATTTCAATCCAGCTTCCTGCTGATGACCTGAGTAAAGCAGTGGAAGACAGCCCAAGCTCTTGGGTCCCTGCCACCCACATAGGAGACCCAGAAGATACTCCTAGCTTCTGGCTTGAGCCTGACCCAGTCATAACCATTGGCAGCCTTTGGGGAGTGAATTTTCCCCCTTTATCTGTCTAGCATTTATCTCTACCACTATCTCTGCCATTATCTGATGATCAAATAATTTATAAAAATATTTGAAGATGTTTATTTTGGTACCAAGAAATGTTAAAATTCATACACACACAAGGACTGATACTGCCACTCCATCTCTTTGAGATCTTCATGCCAAGGCCAGAAGAAAAGACCAAGGGTCATCATGAAAGCTGGGAGAAATATGTTAAGAAGCTAGTGATCCATTGAAACGCTTCTTGATACTGCTTTATCTGGCTTTACCTGTAAACGAATAAATACAGCCATCTTGACCTGATTAGGGCCAGACCCTCAGAAACAAAGGTCTGTGTCAGCACAACAGGCAAACCCACAGCAGTGAGGGGCACTGAGCAGGGATAGAGAGGTTCCTGAGGAACTGTGACCCCATACAGAGTCTTGGGGCAGCTGTGCCTGGGTGGAATGAGCTGCCCAGGAGGATCGAGTGCAGCTGAAGGGTGTAGCCAGTGGGCTGAGACAGCCACTATAGAGCACATGCCTAGGTGCCTTTATCAGGCTGGCCACACGCCTGGAGCTACTGTTCACTCTAACAGCTTTCAAGGCTTCCATCTCAGGAGACCTGCCCACTGCTAAGGCGCCTCTAAATCAATGCCCCATGCAGGACTGCCTGGTATGGAGGTATTGAGGCCTGACCCCACCTGCCACACAGGGACAGTTCTCTCAGTCAGTTTTTGTTGACACTGTAGAGCCTCCCCAGTGGGTATGGCCCCTATGCCACTGCGTGCTGGGCTCTTGGAAGGCTGCATTACTCATAAAGGATGTGGTCTCAAATCCCAGCCTGATTCCATCTCTTCCTGCATCATGCTTACCATGTTTCTTCTAGACATTTTAAAACTGAGCTGTTTGTCCCTTCACACATCACATTCCGACCTTACCCAAATCCTTCTCTCAGTCTCTGCCTTTCAGAGAACCTTGTCGGTACAACTAGCTAATCCTTCACCTCCAAGCACCATGATCCCGCATGAGCACAGGTTCAGGTCCTGGCTGCTCCACTTCCCTTCCAGCTTTCTGCTTGTGGCCTGGGAAAGCAGTAGAGGACAGCCAAAAGCCTTGGGACCCAGAGAACCTTGCCTAAAGCAGGGGTGCAATAAAACAAAATAACAATGAAATAGCGAGGAAGGACAGGGGAATAAGTGGAAGGAGGGAAGGTGAGCACCATCTTATAACCGGACAGCCAGGAAGTCTTCCTTGACAGGTGACTTTTGAGCAGGAGCTGAAAGAAACCAAAGGAATGAGCCATCAGACCATTCTGATGAAAAGCATTTAGGCAAAGGGACCAGGTGGTGCAAAGGGACCAGATGGGAGTGGTGTGAGGAATTCCTGTATGAGCAAGAAAGGCCAGAGTCCCAAGTGGAATAGAACAGGATGAGAATGCCAGAGATTAAGTCAGAAACTTTTCAAGGTCCCACAGACAGCACGGAACCGCAGAGGACACGCAAAGGAGACTAACGGTATCCCTGAGGGAGGTGGGAAACCACGGGGAGGAGCTGAGCATGGGATCTGGGCCCACGAGCCATACAAAGTCCACAAAATCATTTGCTTTGGCAACTTCAGGTACAACTCAAAATTCAAGAAATCTACAGAAGGTTGACTTTTAAATTGATAATTATGTATGGTCTGCAAATGATGTTACAAGTATCTAAACATTTGGCTCTTGAAGAACAAAAATTCCCCATACTTAGAAAGAATCACCCTTTGTAGCCATGTGGCCTGAGTTCCTGCAAGAAATAAAAGCAACTGAAAGCCAGGATTGTGTAATCTCAGAGCATGCCTTAACACACCTGCCTTTGTCAGGTGCCCAGGTGATGCATGCGTTGAACATGCAACTCTTGACACTTTGAGAAGTACTCTCACAGAATTCAATGCATTTACAGAGCCTAAAAAACACGAGTAGGTGTTTGCCATTATTTCATTATATTCCTACGCATCACATGTCATTTAGGTTGAACAAAGCTGCATGTCAATTTCTAAACACTAATCTTGGTCTTTTGTTCTAAAGATTTATTTATTTTTATTAGAAAGGCAGATTTACAGAGAGAAGGAGAGATAGAAAGATCGTCCATCCACTGGTTCATTCCCCAAGTGGCTGCAACAGCCAGAACTGAGCTGATCTAAAGCCAGGAGTCAGGAGCTTCTTCTGGGTCTACCACACAGGTGCAGGGTCCCAAAGCTTTAAGCCAACCTCTACTGCTTTCCCAGGCCACAAGCATGGAGCTGGATGGGAAGTGGAGTAGCCAGGGCACAAACCGATGCCCATATGGGATCTCGGCACATACAACGTGAGAATTTAGCCACTAGGCTATTGCACCCTGCCATGAACATTAATTTCTAGGTCTAAAGCTCAGTATAGTCTAACACTAGACCATAAGCAAGTACATCTCCTATATTCCTACACTTCAAAACGATTGTTGTTCCTTCAGCTGATTAGTTGCTCGTCTGTTTCTTAACAATGTCTGTTTTCCAGGAAGGCTAATGATGCCTGACTGTAATCAACCCCATGTGTGAACTCTGAAAAGCTTCTCTGGGCGTTTGCCTCTCCCTCCCGCAGGAAAAACACTCTGATTAAAAAGCATCTCAAGGATCCCATTTAGATGATGATGTCAGCCTCAAACATTACTAAACATCTATGATTTACACTGCCTGCCAGGCTAGGAAGCAGGGGTTTTTCATTTCCAAATGCCCTTTGTAATGCAGAAAACTGCCATGAGTTTCACTTTATATATATATACATACATACACACATTTTATGTGAAAATCAATGGGGTAATAAAGAATTGCACATTATATGCCAGGCTCTTGGCAAAGTGCTTTCATATCATTATCTTATAGACATGCAGCTAATATCAAGTGCACATTAGAGCTGGCTTGGATTATTCTGAAACTCAGCTTAGACCACTGGAGCTGAGGATCAGCTTGGAAGATCCAGCAAGTCACCTCTATTTTTCCTTCCTCTGCTGATAGTTAATCTTCTGAGGTAATTGAAAGAAGAGTTTTGCTTCATTTTTTCTAAAACCTCTACAACTACGACAGCCAACACAATAACAAGGACTGATTTTAAACACCGTGCTGGTCATTTTTCTGTTGTCCTAAGAGGCCATTCTCAGGATGAAGTTCAAAAATTCTAAAGTACTTTTGTTAAGCATTTTAAAAACTCGGGTAAAGTTGGGTGATTATAATGGGGAGCATGACCCTAAATCATGGATTTTTGTTCCTAACTTTGTCAAATTTGTCTGCCATCACTTGAAAAAAGCCAATTAAGGCATTGTGCCTTCTTTTTGCATTTTTAATCAAATGTACATCAGCACAATGAGAGGTTCCCCAAGGAACGTGCAACAAAAGGATCAAACATTCGCCTCTAAAATGTTAGTACAGTCATTCTCTTTGGCGGCTGTCACTGGCTAGGTTTTCATCTAAAAATGATCATTGAGGGGAGGTTCAATTGGATCTTTTTTACTGTAATTACTACATCAATAGGCTCCCCAACCTGTTCCCCTATTACATAAGCACAACAAGAACGGCACAGTGGCAATGTTAGCACTGAAGGGAGCATGTACGTTATTAAAACACAAGAAGCTGGAAGAGTCTCAGAAACAGGTGTACATTACCTAGAGACAATCCTTTCTTTGCACAAGATTTTAGATGAAAGACATAGCACAGTTAAATGGGCAATGCTGGGTGGTATGGGGACTCACCAAGATCAAAAATGATGATTCAGATACACAAAAAGCCTTTCAAAAGTATTTTTTATATCTATGCCAAGGAAATAAAGGAATCTTTACACATAAAGATCTTTACACATAAAAGAATCTTTACACAATAAAGGAATCTTGCACATAAGGACCACAGACTAACTCATTTATTAAACCTGAGGAGGCATTTACTATGTCTGTAGCATTTTACAAATTAGAATGTCACATAAAACCATTCATTCATGACAAACTCTCCTTCTAATAACATTGTATTTTACTTTTAAAATATTTGGGGGGGGTGAGTTAAAATCTCATTCAATACAATGACAGAACTTAACATTTTCCCACTTAACAGTCATTTGAGATTTTGTGCTGGAAGGAATACTACTAATTTATTTAAGTTTCCTCGAATTATTGTACTATTCCTTTCCTTTTTGAAAGCCACTCAATCAGGAACCACTTTAGAGATTCTATATATAAAACAAGGTAATGATTCTTGCCAACAACAACAACAAAAAAACCTCAAAAATCATTTCAGCATAACTAAATTTGCCATTGAGTTAACATGAAATACTGCCTTTTAAATCTTTTCTGATCCAAGGCCAAACATACCATATGCCTTGCCCCCATCTCCTGTAAGTGCTCACTCTGCTTTCTCAGCAGCACACTTATTTCAACAAGAACTAAGTATTCTTAATTCAGCGCAATACTTTCTGATGCAGTTTTTCTATCAGCCTCCCAACTTGAACTGTTGGAACAACCAGAGGCCACAGCAGCTAACTACCCTGATCCACCTCACTTCATTAAACTGTGGTTTTATAAACACAATACAAAGTCGCTCAGGCAATTGCTGATTGACGTGAGGCTACTCAGAAATAAACCTCACGTTTGCATCCCAACTTTACCTTTGTAAAGTCCCCAGTGCGTCTCCCACGGCGTTCTTCACTCCTTCCTTCCCAGGTTTCAGAAATTTTTCCTTGAATGTCTCAAAAGCTTTGAACGGCATTTTGAATCGGGAGGGAGTCGGAGAGGCACCTGCAAGCTGTCACCAGCCAGTTCCAGAAACTGGCATCTTTTCTGCTGGCACGAGTGGAGACTGCTCTGGTTCCTGGAGCACCTGGAAGTCCGTTCTCACAGAGGGAAGAGCTTAGAATCAGAAAAGAGAAGAAATGCAGCCCAGATTTTCCAAGACCACTTTCTCCTCTCCCAACCCTTCTGGAGTCCCTCCTAGGAGAAAAAAAAAAAAAAAGCCAAGAGTTGTCTGGCTGGGAATTCAGCCCCTTGAAAAAGCTACAAGTCAGCAGCAGCCACCGCCGGTGGCCATTGCCTGGGACAGCCACTCTCGGACTGAACGCTGCCTCTCTCCAGCCTGCAGCTGGAGAAGCCACGGTGGGTTCCAGCTCATGCGGAGCCCCCAGCGCAGCAGCTGCACCTGCGGCCTAGTCCAGCCCCTCCTACCTCCCTGCACAGCCTGTGACTATCCCGGAGTGTTCCTTTCCAGGGGGTGCTATAGTAACCAGCACAACACCTGCCCTTGACTGCTGAGGCTTATTCAGAAGCCTTGGACCTGAGCAGGCATCCCGGGGAGAAGCTTAGTGTCTGAAACATGTACGAGTTCTGTGCTTTTTCTGAGGGCTGCTCACAGGCTCCCAGCCACTGTGGGAGCCGTGAAACAATCGTTCAGTCGGATGCTAGCCTGGGTGCAGTGCCCAGAGAAACACTTGTACTTGAGTGGGCTCAATGCAGAACCCAGGCCCTGAACACGCAGGAGGGCATCTGATTTTTTCCCATGGACAGAGCAGGCTCCCGGAAGGTATGTAGACATGACTAGGGACACTGATTAAGATATCAGAGCCAGTCCTGGCACCTGCTTAGAACCTGCACTGGCTCCTCATTGTCCCCAGCAAAAATTTTTTAAAAAATAAATAAAAATAGGTGAAAAATTTTTCATCCTATCAACGGATTCCCTCCGTGGGACCCCTGAACCCTGTTTCTTGTCCTTCAGTGTCCACAACACTACTGAGCTGTGGCCTCCGGAGTTTATCCAAGCTGTACTGCCACCAGGGGAACTAGCCTGACCCTGCGTCACAGTCACTTCCGGCGCCCCAAGCCTCGTCCGGACATCATGCCCTCTAGGATCCCTGGCAGATAAAGCAAAGGGTCCCTCTTCCTCCATACCTCCAAATCCCCTGAACTCAGTGTAACCAAAGTCCTCGTTAGACTTAGGAATGGACAATTGCATTGCACCTGCGTTCCGGGCTGCTGGACGCTGTGTCTCTCTGACACAGCCTTCCCCTGAGACAGAGATTCCCTCCGTGGCCCAACTCCCCGTGGGGACAGCCGAGGAATGACCACTGCGCTGTGGGCGGCACTTCCGTCTCCCTGGAGTCATAATCCCAGGACCGATCTTTGCCCTTTGCAAGCTGCAGTCCAAATCTTGAATTTGAACTAAATGAATCCAAATCGGAACTGGATCTTTGATAGGTTAAATATTGCTAGCAATTTCTATAAGATTTTTTTTTCCACAATAGATTTATAAACACAGGGGATCAAAGTCTCTCCCCTCTCCCTCCCTGAAATCCCTTCACTCTATTATTTTCCCCCAAGTTATTAAAATGGCATAGCCATTCATTCCATCACTACAAGCTTCACTTTCTAGTAAGTAAATGTATCACAGCATAACAAGTATAATAAAGTAACATAATGTTAAAACATAATTACAAATAGCAAAGGTAATTCTATTATTATTTGGAAGTAAAGACGCATACTGTATTTACTCATTGTTTCCCAGTAGGCTGATCTCCCTTGTACAGTTTATAGGGTTTTTTGGGGTTTGTTTTTACTGTCACATATCATAGAGAACATATGATGTCTGTCTTTTGGGGGACTGGCTTATTTCACTAAGCATAATGGTTTCCAGCTGAGTCCATCATGTTAAAAACAGTAAGATTTCATTCTTTATTTGCTAATATTTACTGAGCTTTTGCTATGGTCCAAACTCTGTGTTAAGCATTCTTTTAAATAGCATTGCAGTCTCCCCCACACTGCTTTGTGGTTAATACCTTATTTTCTCTAGTTTTATACTGATGGAAACAGGCAGCTTAGACGTGTGTGATCATGTAGCTAGCTAGTAGCAGAGTCGGGTTTCAGAGCCAATAGCTGAATTTACCCCTGGTCTTGTTTCTCTCTTTGCATGTCTTCTTCCCTCCTTCTCTCCCTCCATCCCACTCTCCGTCTCCCTCCCTCTCTATCTTCCTGCTTCTCTTTTATTTTGCATTTCATGTAATTCATTCAAGAGAACAATTCAGTGATTCTTAGTCAAATGAAAAGCAACTTCGGTCACCCCAGTAATGTCGCTCATGTCCAACTGTTCATCCCCATTTCCCGCCTCCCACCAGGTTCCACCCTCGACCTGCTTTCTGCTGTCATGGATTGAGATGCCTTTTCTGGACATTTTGTCACCAAGTCATGAGATCCCTTGTGGTTGGCTTCTTTCCCTTTGTTTTAAATTTGAGATCAGTGCGAGCGACAGCATGAATCAGGGGCTTCTTTTTCTTCTTTATCAACAAACAGTATTTCATTGTGTGTATTTACCACATATTGGCTATTTATTGACCTGCTAATGGACATGTGGGCTATTTCCAATTTCATGAATGAAACTTTTGGAATCATGTGCAAGCAATTCTCTGTGTGGACATATACTTTCATTTCTCTTGGGTAAATACCAGGAGTAGAATTCTTAGATCATATGGTACGTTTGTCCAAAACTGCCCAATTAATTTCCAAAGTGGTTGCACTGTTTACAATCCCACCAGTAGGTGTGAGGGCTCCTCTTCCTTCACAGCCCTGCCAGATTGCTGTTTGCCTTTTTAGAACAACCATTCTGGTGAGTGTGAAATGCTATTTCATTGTGGCTGTAATTTGCATTTCCCTGATGACTAATGGCATTAACCATCTTTGCACGTGCTTGTTAGCCATTGATAGATTTTGTGTGTGTGTGAAATTTGCTTTCAAATGCTTTAAGCATGCTTTAAAATAGTCTTTTGTCTGCTTGTTACTGAGGCACATGGGTATGTATAATTTGGGTGCGTGTTTTTTATTATATTTGTGTTTCCCAAATATTTTTCCAGGTTGCTGTTAATCTTTTCACTTGTTTCATACAGTATTTTGAAGTTCAGACTTTGAAATTTGATGAGATGTAAGGTATTCCTTTTTGTGAACCGTCCTTTTGCTGTTAGAGCTAATAAGTCATTGCCTAATCTGAGGTCTCCACTCCAATATTCTCTCCTGACCCCAACTAAGTTCCTGGCTCCCAGCATCCAGTGAGCCCAGCCTCAGCCTTTAAAGCTCTGGGCCATTGAGCCAGTGGGTGGCATCTTGCTCATTCTGCTGATATTCTATCTCTCTCTCCCTTTCTGTCTTCTCTGAAACTTAAATGATTAGTTTTCTTTAAAATTTTTCTTATGTCTAAAATTTATGCTTCAGGTCTATGGATTTTTTAAAGTAAAGATTTATGTATTTGAAAGGCAGAGTTAGAGGGAAGGGAGAACAGAGGCAGATCTTCCATTGCCTGGTTCACTTCCCAAATGATCCCACCGGGCAGGATCGGGCAAAACTAGAAGCCAGAGCCTGAAGCTTTTCATCCAGGTTTCCCACATGATATATACAGGGGCCTAGACATTTGGGCTGTTTTCCATTACTTTCCCAGATCTCACATGGGATACCAGCCTTGCAAGAGGCATCTTAATTTGCTATAAAACAACACCAGTCCTCCAGGAGCCAAAGTGTGTGTGTGTGTGTGTGTGTGTGTGTGTGTGTGCGCGCGCGCGTGTGCGTGTGTGTGTGTGTGTGTGTGTGTGTGTGTGTGTGTGCGTGTGTGTGTGTGTGTGTGCGTGTGTGTGTGCGTGTGTTTACTCAGGTTCACACAGCTAGAAGAACAAGACGGGATCTATACTAAAGAAGTTTGACATCAGAGCCTGTACTCAAAACTTTTATCCTGGAACTGTTGGTAATAGAAATAAGAAAATACAAGGCCAGACTTCGCATAACTGAGGTTCCTTTCACCCATTTATTCACTTGCGCCTTTTCATGAGAGCTTGCTACGTGGCCTCTTTGGACACTCGTGAGATAGGTTGAACTGCGGTATTTTTCTTCAAGAAACAAATAAATCAGAAACTGGATGAGTCTGTCGCAGTGCAAGCAGTGCTACAACAGAAGGCTGAGGGGACACAAACAGCCTCAGGAGGTACTTCAAAGGAGCCCATCTTTCCTGAGTTATGTCAAACACATTTTTGTAGGTGCTCATGCTGTGGTACAGCGGATGAAGCTGTCTTGTGCAACACTGACATGCCATATGAGCATCGAGCCACTTCAGTTCCTGGCTGTTCCACTTCCAATCCGGTTCTCTGCTAGGACACTTAGAAAAGCAGTGGACGATGCTCTAAGTACCTGGACGCCTGCCATCCACGTGGGAGACCCGGATGGAATTCCTGGCTCCTGGCTTCAGCTTGACGCAGCCCTAGTTGCTGCAGCCACCTAGGCAGCAGACGGAAGATGTATCTCCCTGTCTCTTCCTCTCCCTCTCTGGAACTCTCTCTGCCTTTCAAATAAATAAATAAAACTTTAAACAAAATAAAGGCATTCTTGATCACCCACAGAAAGATGATAGGCTCCCTGAGTACTGTCAACCATAGTGTTAGAGCTCAAGAAACAGGCTGCAGAACTTAAATATGGCCCTCCATTCCTAAGTCACTGTAAAAACGGGAGTGGGAGAAGGCTGCCACGAGGAGATGATGGTAGTATTAACTTTCAGGGTGAGAAAGAGTGAGGCAAGCAAAAGAAAGGTATGTAGGAGCACAGACACGAGTGAGAGCGCGTGGCCCAGGATAAGTTAGGTATTATCTGACCTTGGAGGATATAACTGCCAACAGCCTCAGCATAAGAAACTCAATTATTAGTATTTTAATCTGTTTTCTGACTGCATAGATGATGGAAAAATCTTTTTTT